GATAGGTGACAGTGTGTCTGGCAGCAGTCCTCACCCCCTTGTAACAGGAAGCCAGAGGATTTCAATGTGAAATCCAGGACCCTGCCCCTGCTGCTGGAGGGGGGAGTCAATAGCCTGTTAATGACCCCTTGTTCTTTACTTCACAGATGTTAACAATCACCTGTGAGGTAATAATTAGCTACTTTTTTTTTTTTTCTATTTCTTCACAGCTCCATACTCTGTGCCCAGGATGCTTGTTTTAATTTTCACTGACCAGCTGGGACTGGCCTCTGAAATCCTGGACTGTCCCAACCACTCTGGGATATATGTTCACCCTACTTTACGGGGATGCTGCAGCAGGCTAAGCTTCCTCGATGGGACCAGCAGCTGAGCAAGGGCTAGCTGCTGGGAAGCAAGCAAGCCAGTAGCAGCCCAGGTATGAGTTACACCTGGGGGGAAGACTATCTAGGGAGCTTGCTGCATGGCATTGGCAATATATAGGGGGTGCACACAGGTGCACGTGCACCCCCTGAGATAGGCCATGCACCCCCTGGAAGTGCTCTTCCAGTTTTGCCGGTTTCACTGCTGGTTGTTCCGGACTCAGTGATCAGCCACTGGGGGACCCCACCCCCATCAGCAATCTGATGCCCCCCCAGACTCGGGAGGCACCAGTTGCCCATGCTACATGGGGCCAGCACCTGGGCAAAGGCCAGGTGCTAGAAGTAGCAGCTCAGGGGCAGACATCTAGGCAGCTCAGAAGTAGAATCTGTGAGCAGCTGAGCCACAGCAGAGAAAGGCAGGCTGGTTACATGTAGGTGGCTGGAGAGTCACTGAACAGGAAGGGGTGGGGTGCTGGAGGTACATAAAGCCAGTGCCTAAGACCAGGAACCAGTCTAGCCCAGGGGTGAGCAATTATTTTGGGCAGAGGGCCACTTACCGAGTTTTGACAAGTGATTGAAGGCTGCATGACAGGCAGCCAGGGGCAGATAAATATTAATTTTCTAAATTTTTTAGGGGCCACACGGGCCGGATAGAATGGCCTGGTGGGCCGCATCTGGCCCACGGGCCGCATTTTGCCCACCCCTGGTCTAGCCCTATAGGCTGCATAGAGAGGATCTCCTGAGTGAGATGGTTGCAGGAGACAGATTGACCAACACCCAAGCAGTCCCAGAGAGCAACAAGGAAAGAGCCAAGTGGGACTTACAGCTTGTGGGAAAGTAATGACTCAGTGTGAGCAGGATTGTGTTGCACAGCCTTTGTGCTTATCTTTACATTCCAATTATGTTAACTGGAAGACTGGGTTCTGGCTATGGGAAATGTGTAGAGGCTATGGAAGAGTGCCTGGCAGGGCATTCAGTGTTAGGCAACTTAGCCTGAGGTCAGGGACCCAGAGGGCTGTGGGCTGGCGCAGACCAAGGCTGGGAGAGCCAAGGCCTGAACAAGTAGAATAGCGTGGGGTCAGAGACCCAGAGGGCTACAGGATAGTGCAGACCAAGCTGGGAGAGCCAAGGCAAGCAGAAGCAGCCTAGTCAGGCATCAGGGATCCTGGGAGCTGAGTCTGGTGTAATGAGTTAGGTTGAAGCTAGAAGAGCTAAGGACAGTGTCAAAAAGCCTAGCTGAGAGGTCAGGGACCCAGAGGAATAAGGGCTAGGACTGGCCTAAAATAGCCTGGTCTGGAATGAGCCAAAGCATGGGTCAGGAACCCCAGAAGGCTGGGGAGAACTAGGCCAAGGCAAGAGGACTAAGGCCCTGAGAGTAGGATGGAAGTCATAGCGAGTTAAGCCATGAAGGCTAAAGCCTGGTGGAAGAAGTAGAAGCTCAACTAGGGTCAGGGACCCAGGGGAAAAAAAAAATCTTTCCAGAGCCACAGGTGCAGTGGGCTGATCAGAGTACAACGGCCAGAGGCCCAGGGAAAAATAGCCTTGCCAGGGCCAGAGGCCCAGCCAGCTAACTAGAGTATTTAACAGATGGACCAGAGAGCCCAGTGGACTACTTAAAGTGACAACTCGAAAGCTTAGGTCTGGCCGAAGGAGTGGAAGGAAGCCACAAACAGCCCATACGGCAACTGGTATCATAAGGCGCTAATAGGCCAGAAGGGCCACAGTGTAGTGTCTCAGGGGCAAGGTTGAGCTAGACTGGGAGGGGCAATTATTTCAGCGGGCGGGCCGCTTAATAAGTTTTGGTGAGCTGTCAAGAGCCACAAGGATAGCCCTGCCCCCTGGTTGCCATCTTGGGACCAGAAGTTTTGTGCCTATCCCCTGACCTTTGCCACCGGAACTCTCTTCCTTTGCCCCCTGGAAATACTCTTTTTCGGGAGAGGGGTTTGCCATCTTAGAACCAGAAAAAACAGTTTATACACTAGAAGGCAAACACCTAGTACAACACATTTTTAATTTATTACAAAAAATATTTTTGTCATGGTTTGTTTGCGTATTGCATATAGAGGTGATTGCATAATAACTCAAAAATGAAGTCTTACTCTTGTATACTGTGTGTGGGGTATGGTTGGGGTTGGGGGGTGTGTATGGTGGAGTGTGGGAGGAGTGGGGGCAATAGGATATGTTGGAGTGTGTATATGTGGGGAGTTGCAGAGACAGGGTGTGGGTGTGTGATACTTGTGGGGTATGAGGCTGGGTGGGTATGGGATTCCCCGCCCCCCTCCCCACTGCACGCCCCTGCTGCCAGCGGCAGCAACAGGCGCTAGGGAAACTGTGCTGGCAGTACAGAATTCTGCAGCTAATACCTCACTTAGATGGAAAGTATATTTTGAGAAGAAAGCAGTGGGTTCAACAAAAGACAGAAATATTAAGACTTGGGATCAATCTATGAACATGTTTCAAAAGGTTCAAAACCCACATTTTACTGATTTTTAAAATGAGTAAAAACAATGACCTTTATGGCAAGGTGGCAAGCCAAGTCAAGACTTAATATTTGACTCACTTATTACATCTGTTTGATTGGTCTGCCTGTGTCTTCTTGAGAACTAATTTCATTTAAGATAACTGAAATTCCCAAAGCTCTCCTTTTCATTGACAAAATAGTTTAAAAAATACACAGACACATACTAATTTGCAGTTCTTTGTTTAGGGCAGTCATTACTCTTACAACACATTAATCTAAACCTAGTTGTGTGGCTTCTTGGTGCATAGTTCATTTTTCACTGCTTTGGAAGAGGGTAGTATCAAAACTAAATTGGCCATGTCCTATCCCTATCAACATCAGTATCAAAATTCTTGTCTTCAGTGAGAACAGGAGTACACCCAGTCTGATCTATATTTTTATAGCCATAGATAATTACCTTTATGCCTTTCCCACTTAAAAGTGTAAATATTTTAAAACACTATTGTATTATTGCTTTATTATACTAGAGTATAATAATAAGTCCACTAGCAAAAGAAGCATGTTACATCATCATTTTTTTAAACATATCAGATGCGACTGTGGTTTCAATATGTTGTAGATTTAATGTCAATGGAAACTGAATGCCCTGAAGGGATTGTTTAACAATCTATATTGGGTGAGAGGAGACAGGGGTGGCAAGGGGTGCACGCGGGTGTATAGAGGAATCATGTGTGCATGTGAGGGGGGGCTGCCTGGGAGCCAGCCAGGGGTGAGGGGAGATGCAGGGGGTGCGTGCAGCAGAGCTTGACCAGTCGGCAGCTGTCCCTGCAGTGCTTTACATGCCCCCCCCCGCCCAAAGCCAGGGCAGTGCTCCCATGCACACCCGCCAGCCCGGGCTTGAGGCCTGGTCAACACTCAACTTCTAGCAGGGCTGTTCCCAGTGTGACTGCAGCTAGCCAGCTCACATTGTCACTGGAAGGCAAGGAGAGCAGAGCAGCACCCAGCTGGCTGCAGCCACAACAGAAACTGCATGCTGGCTGGGGCCAGCAGGGCTGTTCTGCTTCCCTCACCTCCAGCTGCCGCTGCTGCCACTGCTGCTGCCCTTGCCACGCTGCTCGGGGTGGGCAGGGGGAAGCTTCAGTGGGAGGATCCTGCTCAGTGCATGGAGCCCCAGCTCTAGCTCCTGCCACCTTCCACCCACTCTGCCTGCCCAGTGTGATGAGCAGCCCCTGCGGGCGGGCAGGCAGAGTGGGTAGAAGGTGACCACGAGCTGGAGCTGGATCTCCATGCACTGGGCAGGAACCTCCCACTGGAGCTTCCCCCCACCCAGAGTGGCGTGATGCAGCACAGCAGGAGCTGCAGCCGGAGGTGAGGGGAGCAGAACAGCCCCACTGGCCCAGGCCCCAGTCAGAGCGCAGCTTCCAGTGGGCCTGTTCCCAGTGCAACTGAAGCAGATCAAATGCTGCTGTGCTCCCTTCACCTCCAGTGGCCGCTCCTCCTCCTATTCCTGCCCCTGCTGTGCTGCTCCAGGTGGGCAGGGTGGGGGAAGCTTCAGCCCAGTGGCTCCCACTGGAGGTGAGGGGAGCACAGGAACATCCGGCTGGCTGCAGCTGCACTGGGAATAGCCCTGCCAGAAGCTGCGCGCTGGCTGCGGCTGGTGGGAGCACAGCGTGGGCTGCCTAGGTGGGAGCAGGCACGGCTCAACCCCATGTGGAGCACTGCAGAGGCAGCTGCAGGTTAAACCAACGAGCTGACAGGCTAGATCTGGCCCGCGAGCCACATTTTGCCCACCCCTGAGCTAGACTGAGCTCACTCTGGGGCCCCGGGAGCAGCCTCGCAAATTCTTATAAATAATATCAAGGCATAGCAAGTGAGGCAGAAAGGGAGGGTGCCCTGGGAAGCTGAAGTTGGGGCAGGGGTTGAGTGGTCACCAGGGGGCATCACAGCCACCCCTGGGCACTGATCCCGTCACGCTCCTCCACTCCAGGACTCCATGAACTTGAAGTCAATACTTTGATCTAGCTGTGCAGGTCTGCATGTCCATCTTGCTCTCATTCTTATACACCCATGCTCATATTCTGGCTTAAACAAAATGAGTTTGATTTGCATTTTCACTATGAAGAAAGAATTCATGTTCATTCCACACAGCTTAGAATCAAGCTTGAGGAAGGAGCACCTACCTTCGTTCATAGCCCAAGCACCACAGACGTCCTGCACAGCCCTGCTTCCACACTTTGACCATCCGAGTGAAGGCTTGCACGCATGGCTGCTGGTGCCCCACAATTGCCAGCTCTTGCTCTGTACAAACGTTTGGCCTGTCAGAGAAGAATAGACATTCTTTAAACCTCCTCACTGCTGGGGCTGCACCACAACATATTGACAGCTCAGGAAGGAAGAGAAAGTGAGAGGCCTACAATTTTTCCTCAGAAGATATTTATACAATATTTATCTACTCCATTATATTATTTATAAAGGAGGCCTGGGGAGAGAGATGGTCTCAGCTTGTCAGGTCTTGAGCTATCAAGGGCTTTTTATGTCAAATACAACCTCTTAACCTCCTCCCGGAACCCCACAGGGAGGCAACTCAGATCATGAATCACTGATGTAATGTTCTTGAAGCAAGATACATCACTAACTGAGCACCCTGACATTTTTTTCCTGTAATTTCAATCCAAATCACACAAAACTATGACCATTTTGTATGTCTTCATCTCATCTGAATATCAAAGGCCTTTGAGAATCATATCAGCCTCATGGCACCTCTATGAGTTACAGATCATTCAGCATTTTATACATGAATAAGCAGAGATATGGAAAAAGCAAGATCTTAACAAAAGTCCAAAGACTGGCAGAGGCAGGAACAGGACTCCTGGTATCATGTTCCAACGCTTGCCCTGCAACCTTTCCCCATTTTATTTCATTTTCAGGTACAGAAGTGGGCATGTAGCAAAAAGTATAAAGTAACACCTTTTTATACTATCACCTCCACTGAAATTAAATAAACTATTAATAAACTTTCCACTTTTATAGCAAGGATCCCTTCTTTCATAAGATTTAACCAGTAATTGATTAAAATAAACAATACGAGGTTGGTAGGGGATGTATATCATTACGCCCCTCACGAACCAGAGATGTGCAGCCACCTCTGGCACCAAATACACCTGATGGCTCAATTTAAGCCAGGAAGTGATCTCACCGGGATGCTCCCAAGGAAGTAAAATATTCTGCTTCCAAATGAAACATAGGAGGAATATTAAAGTGGTCAGAATGCAACATTTGTCAGGATGTGAACAAGCCTTCATCCTGCCACGTTATAGATTCACAATAGAAAAGAAAAATTAAGCCTCTTTCAATTGTGCACGTTAAAGTTCTTATTATTGGAAATCAGAGTTACGGCAGGCCAGAAAAAAAGCATACATTATTTCAATCCATCCTTTTAGGCCACTAGGTTCATAAAGATCATTTTTCATCAAGTGAATTGCCAGGAGAGTCAAAACGGAAACAATAACAGACAAATCTACTTCCAAACACATTTCCCAGCTTACTCCCTGCAGGCTCCATACTCTGTGAGCTCTCAAACCAAGAGAACAAGCAAGTAAGGTGCATTTTTCTTTTAAAAGTTATGGAACATATAAAATTAATCAGCAGCTTTAAAGAGATGATGATTAGTAAGCAAATATATCAAGAACTCACACAAACTACAAAATGTCTTAGTGCACTGCAAACAAATGATTATAAGATTAAAATATTTTAGCTTCCCAAATGCTAACAAATAAGCCCTTTGCATGTATCAAGTGCCCCCAGTTTGGCATTTCTGATCTCCTTTTTCCCTCTCCCCACAAAAAAAAAATATTTTTTTTTTTACTGTCAAGTTTGTTTTACATTTCCAGAGTGCCTTGGCACTGAACAGAAGCTATTGGGATTAATTTCTGAAAGGAGAGACAGGCATCTAGGATTTGCCAGCCAAGCTCAAACTCTTGGTCCATCAAGCAAGGCCTTTATCAGCTGCTGTTCATTAAAGCTACAACAGCATTGACTAACACATGGGGGGGGCAGTATGCAGTTGCTGCCAAACAGTGAAAAATGCCATTTTCTCCAATCCGTTATAAAGCGGGGAAGCATTTCCGAAGTTGGTTTTAATTTCCATTGCTAACACAGGTTCTGGAAGTGAGAGAGGCATTTTTGGAATTGCGCATTCTGAACAGTGAAAAGCTGAGAATGTCTTTGCTGATCCATAAACAAGCTGCAGCCTCATTATTATGACTGTAAGGCTGTTTGAGTGGCCACAAGCAGTGGGAGGTCTGTACTTCAGAGAGAGGGTTTGAGCTTTGTTTTGATGTTTTCAACATTTTCTGAGGGAAATGTTGATTCTGTGTTTGGAATTATTTCTTGCCAGACTGGTTAAACCTGAGCTTATTTTAGGAATTAGTTGCTTTGTATCCTGCTGGGAAAAGGATGTCTCTCCCCCCTGTTGTAGCCCTTCCTGCTGGCTGGCTTTAGGGTTATACTAAAGCTGCTGTGCGAAATGATGGCCGTGAAGCCTATGGAGCATGTTTCTAGCCTCATATTGAACACAGAAGGCCGATGGAATAGCATCTTTTTCCAAAAATCACACAAATTGCTGTGAGCTGCAATGCTTCTGAGCATTCTAGCTGAGACGGTGCTTCTGGGGCACGGGTACAAATATTCGGTTATCTGATTTCACGACCGAAGGAAAAAACGGTGACTTTCCACTATTGTGAAGCCCTGCTCTGGTTCACTCTTATGTTCCTTGCTTTTTAAAAACTGGAGGTTGAATCACTTCGTAAATCCTGTACCGCTCCACTTTTTAAAGTAAAATTCCAGTTCATCAATTGGAATTATTTTTAACCAATTCCAGCTGGTTCTTATCCTCAAGAAGACCCAATGATACTTAAATCTCCTTGGATACCAGCACTTCTTTGTTGTGCCCATTTCCATTTTTTTCTTCTAATCCGATTTCAAAGTTCTTCAGTTCTTGGGGACTGCCATCCCCAATCCAATCCACTGGGACCCCTGCTCCCATCTCTTACAGTGGCAACTGCCAGATGCTTCAGAAAAAGTTAAAAACAACTTACTGGACAACCATGCAATACATTCTGAGAAAGGTTCTTTATAACCTCCATTGAAGAGACGGGATTATTTCCATTATTACTTTCATTCTCTCTCTGACTGTTATTATCCATGTATGTACCTATAGCATTTTTGGATCATGCTAAGCTCTTGACTCAAAATGAAATCTTGTGGCACTAAGTTCCACATATTAACTAAGCATCTTGTAGAAAAATCTGTTTTCCCTTGTTACTTTCAATTGCAAAACTGTTTTGTATTATGAGAAAGAAGGAGAATCAAGAACATGTGTTCATCCTATATATCTTTTATAGTTCAGCTACCTTTACCACTCCCTCTTTTTCATTAAAGGGACCTGAATGAACAACAGTTTGATTCATTGGCAACGCTGGTCACCACCAGGACCCTTTTCCTGAATTCGAGGACCAGTAGCTTAAGATAGGAAATCTGCATTAGATCAATGAATCTATCAACTTTAAGACCACGGGACAGTTCCCCTCACAAAGAATCCAGCATAGCTATAGATTAAGGAGCTACACTTGATCTGAGTCAAAAGGCTGAAAAGTGATGTGATGTTGGCCAGGAGCATCCAGGTTTGCCTGGTAAAGACCCAGTAAAGTTATTGACACTGAGGAAAAAAGAGGAAATGTGATTCTTATGCATTTTTTCAGAGAAGCGTACGCAGGCCTTCTCATTGCCTATGCATTCTGATTGTGGGGAGGAAAGGTATTTTGAAAAGATGAGGTAAACAAGCACCTGGTCTGAACAGGCATTTTTCCCTGCTGTCTCCCTAGGGAGAAGCTCCTCTCCTAGCAGCTAACACACTTCATGAGCATTTCTACCTCTAGGCAAAGTGAACCACAAAGCCTGTTTGAAAGATCCAGCAATTACTTGTCCATTAAGCTGACAGGTATATTTTTCACCTTGAGACTTTTAAGAAAAGTAGTCACAAAAGCCAAGATAGAGTCAAAGAGGAGGCTTTTTTCCTGTTGGCCTGGATTTTAAAATGATAGGGTTGAGGCCATGTCCACTAAGTCACAGTTTTTCCACCCTATACAAACTTTATTTATAGGTTAACAGATTATTTTTCTAAGTGTCATTGTTGCCAACTCCACCCGAGGTTTCTGCTTCTGACACCATCAGAAATAACAATTCTGGCACTAACCTTAAACAGTGAGTTTGTCAATGCTGCCAAGGCAGCATCCATTCCATTTCACCCTCTCCTGGAGGCGCCCGCTCTTTTACAGCCCAGGCATGTAAATACTCTAGTTGGGTAAAGGAGCTAATAAGTGCAATTCAGTCACAAAGAGGCTCTACTTCCTAAGGAGATGCCATGTTTTTACTTGTAGTTTTTCACCTGTGATTACACTTTAATGAATATAAGAATCTGTGCTTTAAGTCTTTTAACATTTGTTCACGAATGGATGAGATTTAGGAGGAATGTGTTAATTTATTTCTATTTCTGGTGCTTAAAGTGCCCTAAAAGGCCTTGTGAATTTTCACCAAAAAAGTAGTTTCTACAGCAGAAGTCAAACTCAATAACTCCAACATGGAGAAGAGTGAGATTCCAGCTGGCATTTTACTGCTCCAGGACATTTAATTATGGTGCTGTAACAGAAAGCCTGAAAATGCCTTTTCAATTATTGGCATTTTTCCTTCAGCAGCTTTGCCTTAAAATCCTTCCTTGTTGTTCCCACATGTGGCCGCTACAGAGCTGTTCAGTCGGTAAAGCTTTTACACATGTTGGTTTACCAATATAACAATCCGAAATCCCGATGGACAGATGCCAAGGAAGCTGTTATGACTTTATTGGCATCTCCCTATTCAAAAAGCACCAAATTCACCCATTTAACCACCAGCAAAACTTGACTTTGCTACTGATGAGAGAATAGTATCCCCCTCCCTGCCCCCATGTCCTCTGCTATTAGCTTACACATGCCTTACCTCTCAGTTGTCTGCAGGGCCAGAAGGGAAAAACCGAAACAAACCACAAGAATGATGCTGGCAGCAGCAATGTTTCTGGAGTAATTTATTGCAGAGAAGGAGCGGTTTTGTGTGCACCAAACAGTGGCTTTGTGTCTAAAGGGTATTGTCAGAAGTGCCCTTTGGGGAATTATACTTCTAAATTAGATTCAATGTTTCCCAGTCCCTGGCATTTTCTTTTCTAGAGTACACTGGCACACATCTCATCTCTCCTATCTCAACCAGCAATCCTGACCCGCAACTCCTGGGGAGATAAACATGAAATCTTTTACATACACAAAACAAATGCCTTTGCACAAGTTTTTCAGAACACATCCAATGACCAGGAGTGGCCCTGACCCTGCCTAGCAGAGTTAATAACGTAAAGGAAAGATGGTTTGGGTTTAGCTCATTACATAATGCTGGTTTCACTTACAAAAATAAATAAATAAAAAAGAGAGCTCAGGCTGCCTGGAGAGAGATCTTCTCCTGGCAGTATCCCAAATTCCAGAGGAAATTTTCCAAGGGACCCACAAAGTTCATGCCAAACTGAAGTGATACCATTGTATTAAAAAAATACAGGGCTAAGAGCATCTGGATTAATACCAAAAAGGAAAAAAAAATGAGACGTACATAGAAGAATTCAGTAAGAAAGAGAAAGGAGGGGATAATAAAAAAGTATTGCTAGGAAAACACACCTCAGCCTGCATAATTATAACTCATGCTTGTACAATAGCTACATCTCAATTTAAAACAGCCAATCACTTCTTGCAAGTGGCGGGAACAATCCAAACATTTTAAACTTCAGTTCACCCCTTTGTTCTCTGCATATTTTTTACTAGAAAGGGGTAAAAAAAAAAATTCAGATTAGTTTCCATTGCATAGCAGTCTCTCCTTTATGGAGTTCCCAACCTGACCTGCTCATTCTTCTCCTCACTCAATACTTACATCAGGGGCTGCAGTTTGTTCCCATAGATGAGCAAAGATGCTTGCAGGGTGAAAACAAACAATTGTGCCAACATGTGTAGCTCCATTCTTGCCGCTATCACCCTTTTCCTTTGCAAGGCAGATCTGGAGGGTGCCTAGAAAGTTTTACAGCTTTCCCCAGAGACAGGCTGGCAAGTTCCAGTTCCTCAAAGAAAAATGCTCATTGCTATTTCCTGATGTTGCCAGTTTCTCTGTTTCTTACAATGAGCAATGCTGCTGGAGTCTTCCTGGGGCTCACAGGAGAAACAGATTTATCACTCCTGGACATTTCCTCCCATACAGGTTCAGCTGAGGCAAGTTTCTCTTGTCCCTGGAGTCCAGGGGAAGTGACTGGAACACAGGCTGTCACAGAGTTTTTCTAGGAACCAAGCCTGGCTCCTTAGTTGTGCTTGTTAGCATTGAAATATGCTGAGGAGACTTCTTCTGGCATTTGCGCCTTGACAGGACCCACACTGCTGATGGCTTAACAGGATCTGGGTTCTGTCCAACAGGGAAGCCCTATGTGGACTTGCTCAGTTTGGAGTCCTCAAGCACTTCATAAAGCAATAGATAATCCAGCACACAGAAAGGAAGGGAGCTCCTCTTTGCACACAGAAGTCCACCTCTCTAAGGATGCACTAAATTCCCCAGCCACGGGCTGTTTTCATTTAACCCTCTACACACACCTTAAGCCAGGCTCCCACCTTGTTCCTAGCAGAAGTCTCTCCCCCTCTCAACACAGGCACCTAAAGGAGCAGCTCTTCTCTCCCCTGCATTTCAGCAGCCTCACAAAACTTCCCCCTTGCCTTGCTCAGGTCTAGTTCCTTTGATTCACATGCTCTCTTGTTTCTTTCTTGCTGACAGTCAGAAATCCCTCCCACCAGCTCTTCCCACCCCCAAGGAGAGGAGGGGGTGGCAACAGAAGAGTAGCAGGCAAAATTTAGCTTTGCTGGTCAATAGACTGTTCTTTTGTAAGACCCTCTGCCAACCTCCAGAGCTATACATCCCTTCCAGCCCCCAAAGATGAGTCTGGAAAAAGCACAGAGACTCCAACTTGCCTGCACATCTATAAGAGCTAGTAAGGCTCACAGCTATTCCAAAAGATATGTGGCTGTGTCTAATAGCTGACAGGGACACGCACACCATACATGAGGATGGTGGAGGGTCAGTGCCTTCCTCACAAAGGCCTGTACATTGTGCATGATTTTTGGAAGTGCTTTAGCGGTATGGGGGTGAAATTAAACTTGTAATTAATTAGAACGTAAGCTTGGGGGAAAAAGAAAAAGCAAAGAAGAAACCCAGGCAAATTGCTGGGAAAGAGAAGGACTGAGCTTCTTTATTTAATTGTCCCCTGCTAATTAACTGCACCTCTTGCAGAGGGGAAAAATAATGGGGGTGAGGATTGTGTAGGGGAAGGAGCATGTAGAATCTGGCTCAGGAGTAGGGTTACTCTCTAGCTTTATTTGTCCTTATTTGCTATTGTTGTAACCTGTGACAGGGGTACCTGGAGAGCCCTTGCTCCTGTGGTATAAATCCAGACAAACAAACACAGCAGCCCTCTGCCCACCGCTCTCCTTGGCCTTAAGCGTTCTCAGTCTTCTCAAACATCGCTCCCAAAGGGAGCCATCAGGAGAACTTTCCTGTTTTTATTTCAGGCTTGACAAGTAGAAATACACACCCCACCTGCAAGAAACATTATGATTTTGGCCCTAGAGGGAAGTTTCACTCATATGCTTGTTGTATTTATTTGTGTTGGAAGGATTTTGAACAAATGACTGCCTGGCTCAGGAAACAGGGTACTGAGACTCTGACTCCTGGGGACAGAGTCCTCCCCAGCTCAGTTGTGTTATCAATCATGCAGTGACTTTAACTGATGGCTGTGTAAGAAGTCAGGAGGAGGGGAAGAGATATGGGTCTCCATTCAGTTCCCAGTGGGATGAGGGTCTCCCTGCCCCTGTTCCCCAACAAAAACAAAAAAGTGTCCCCAGTGCTGTTCATTTGTCTTGCATTGATCAGCCTCAGCACAGGCACCAAAGATATATGGGTCTTCAGAAAACTGGACTCTCTTCATGCCAAGAAGTGGGGCTGAGGTGTGAGAAGAGAAGACAGCACCTATGTGAGGAACTGGCTGGTAAAAGATGCATGTCAGAAACAAGGATTCACTGAGGAAGAGGCTGGGGGAGAAGCAGGCATAATCCTAAGCAAGGACTGTCCTGAAGCAAGGGAGAGGAGTCAAGCAAGATGGTTGAAGCCAAACAGCCAGCTCTCACAAGACCTTTATCCCAGAAATCTGAGAGACTGCCAGAAACAAGTCAATGGTGCAATTTGCCCTTGTATAGCCCAGGCTCTAGCTCCTGGAATCAAGTGACATGGGGAGGTTTCAATGGGGAGGTTATTCTTGTGCCAGTAAAGCCAAAGTGCACGGATAGGACTGAGATCTGCTTCAACACACTTACTTACTCTCTCATTTACATTACAGCAGCATCTTTCAAGTGCAACAGAGGTGCTGGGCCTCCAAGGCAGTGCTTACCTCCAAGAGTTTATGGAAAAGTTAAGTCAAGGGTGTTTAAGTTTGCTGGGCTGAACTCATTCCAATGCCAACTTTACTAGGTAAATGCCCCTATAATATAATATCCCTATAATTATTCAAGATGGAAAGTTTTTGGGTAATATTTTTGATTGGACCAATTGTACAGCTGGAAATGTTGGACAAAATATTATCAAAAGGACCTTGCTTCTACCTGGAGTAACTTCTCTACATTTTATCATCTGTCAACATTCCCCTTTTGTGTCTTCCCCACCCCTCCCAACCTGTCTTGCACCCATTAACTCCCATTCCTTCTGATTCTCCCTGCCACACACATTTGCATTTTCACAGACCTGCATTTTGCATATTAGCTTAAGCTTCTATTCCACCCGAGAGAGTACACAAACCCCAGCACACTCTCCCCATGTCTGAAGAACGGTGTCTGTGTCTGAAAGGTTGTAAAGAACAAAATTTCCAACTATTTAGTTGGTCTAATGAAAGAGATCATGTTTACCCAAAAAACCTTGGGTGCCTATATCTTTAGCTCAACAAGGCTATAACCAATACCCCTGAAACTTGAGGTCCAGGGAAATATTCTACTTCAAGAAGGAGGACAGTGATTTTAATGGCAAAAGATATCTTTACCCATTAGAGGCAGAGCTAATTAAGTGGCTGCTAAATTTTTTAGTGGGTAGCTCCCCCTTGTGTGTTTGGAGTATAAATGCAGTTTGAAGTCTTTAAATAAGTTGGAGGGGACAGTGGTCCCTAGAGGGCAGAGACAGGGCTGCAGAGGCAGGAGCAAGCGAGAATCACCCTGAGCTACAGGCTTATCTTCCCAACTCCGATCTCAAGTAACCGGCCCAGACTCTTAAACTAGTAACATGCGAGTAACAAATGGAATCCGTATTGCTTTCCAGGAATGACAGGAAATGTACACAGGCTGGTAGCTGTCCGTTGATCCCTACTGTGATTGTTGCCTGAAGGCACGTCTGGGAAGAAGAGAGGACATTTCGATGAAAAAGGCCTCGATTTAAACATGTCTAACATGGGCAATTACCGGACATGAGGCCTGTCCTGTAATGCTTAAGCTAATAGCTTTACTGAAGACATGGCAACCACCTGTATCGAAACAGACTACTCACGTCATCAAGGGTTGCAGGAAAAGGTTTTCATCAAGCAAACATATGAAATGTCTCTGTGAAAGATGAATGTTGGAGAGCTAAAACATGGGGTGGTAAACAGTCGAGACAGTATCGGCAAACAAACAGGGAATTTAAAACAAACAAAACAACAACCCCTTTTTCTCTAAATATTTTGATCCCTGGGTATGTAATCCCTTGCACTGTTTATTTCTCTCAACTACCAAGCACACCAAACATGGTACAACACATAGGCCCTGGGATTTGGATTTGCCTCATTCTGCCACTGACTGGTGACCCTGGGTGAACACGCGTTTCCCTACCTCGAAAAACAAGCATAATGACAGTTATCTACCTTTGAAGGGTCTTGGGAACACATGGCTGAAGAGCACTGTATTAAACAGCTACGATTCTTCTGGTGTTGCTGTCTATGGAGCTGTAACCCTGCGGGCGATGTGGCAATTGCTCGTTTTGTATACGATCTTCTACCCTGCAACCCATCCCGCTTCACCACAGGCAGCCACAATCATTACTTGACTTAACTTAGGGCTGGCCTGACTGCTTATTAACCACAGCACGAAGCAAACGCTAAAGCACAATAGATGGTATCATGGCAATGTTGCAGCCTCTGGCAGCAAAGCCGGGTTGGGTTTGGCCACCGCCTCCAGCCTTTGAGGAGGGTTGTGACAGCCGCTCCACCTCCAGATCGGGGCTGAAAATCTGGTTGAATGTCACCCCCATTTTTGTTTTTGGTCCCCCCATCCACGGCCCCACCAAGTCCTGGTCAACCTGCTCCTGGCCAAGCACCTGACCAGGAAGCAAGCTCTGGCCGGGAAGGTGCCCAGAGACTGCGGGCCGCTTGCCTCTCCCGTGCCCGAGCACGTTTCCAGGCACATCGCCAGCGGGCAGCGTCCACCGGCTCCTCGGCCGCGGTGCGGCCGCGGTGGCGCGGCCCGGGGCCTGCTCCGTGTCCCCCTCAGGCGCGCTCATTTTCACGTTTTTAACCCTTTGCCCTTCCCGTCACTCCTGGCCTGGTTTTTTTGCCTTCTTTGTCCCGAAAATCCTGTTGTATCTTTCACCCCCTGGAGCCCCGCACAGCAGGGGCGGCCGGTCAGCCCGGGGGGCTAACTGGAAGGATACAATTAGGCTGCCCTAGGCCGCCGGCTGCAAAACCTGCCTTGTGGGCAATTTAAGCAGCGCTGGAAAGTACACCCCAAGACCGGGATGCTTCCCGCAAGGCCAGGGCAGCCGGGGGCCCCGCCC